TGGGCTGGCAGGGGGGGACGTGTCAGGGCAGCTCTGCCTGGATTGCAATCTGGGATTGGAAAAAAAGGCTCATTTTTAAAGAAAACATGGTACATGGGGACTAGGCAGCTCTTCCCTCTGTTATTTGCAGCTTGAGACTATGTCTTTCTGCTGGAGTTGCTCTATGAGCACATAGCCCTCACACGAAACAAAGCCAGCGGTATTTCTTTCGGTCATGTTCAGTTTAGAGGTAAATCAAGTTTTAGGACTGAAATACAAAAAAAAAAACCAAAAAAAACCCACAACCCCGAAACAAATAATGAAGATGGAGAGAATAAGAGCTGGTGAAAGCATGACCAAGTAGCAAGGTTTCTGAGGTGGCTGCTTTTTGCACAGCTTGTTGTGCCACAGGTGTTTCTCCAAGCTCAAATAAGGTGGTGATTAAATAAATAAATATAGATAAAACCCCCCACGGATCTAAGCTTGGAAAGGAAGGTGTTTGGAAAGGAGAAGCTGTTGTGGGAGCTGTTTTGAGGGGCTAAAATGGCTTTCCTCACCAACTCTCCTTGCCTCTCCAAGGTGTTTTATTGCAGCAGGCGCCATTTCACCTCCGTGAGGGGCTGGCTCCAACCGGTTCCCAGCGCCCTCACACAGAGGGGAGGCCGCAGAGCAAGGGGGACACAGGGACACACACCCCTCCCAAGCACCCAAATCTCAAAAAAAACCACTTGCAGGGCTTGCTGCCCACCCCAGGTGTGTTTTTACAACTACTACCTGTGGGTAGTCAGGGCTAATGAGGGACAAGGAGGAGCAGCCGGCCAGGAGCTCCACACGCGGCGGGAGGACACACACCTGAGCCTGAAGCCTGCTGAGGAAAAGTGAGTATATATCTATATATTTTATACTTTTTTTTTTTTTTTTGCCTGCTTGTACTTGCTCTGGAGGGGCTGGGGTTGGGGTTACAGGGGGAAAAAGGGGAAAAAATGTTGTTGGAAAGCCAGGCGCCTCAGGGGGTTGAGTTTTTAAGGGGTTTTATCCCACACCAGCACCGTCCAGCCTTGTGCTGACACCTTCAGGAAAGAGGAATTTCGCAGTTAAGGTTTCCCCACAGCCCGCACCAGCAAAAAAAAGGGATAATGCAGCTTAAAGTTTGAGGCTGACTTTCTGAAATTGAGTGACAGAAATTTTCTTGGGTTTGTAAATGTTGGGAAAAAAAGAAACAAGGGAGTGGGAGGTGAGAAGACAAAGAAAGAATATGTGCCAGCTCACCGAGTGCTTTTGCAAAGCTGCCTGGTGGTCACCTTTTCACTTTGTGTAACGTATCAAGTTAATTTCTTAGATGTGTTGTTTGGAAGAAAATACTTTGCACCATTTTTCTCATAAATTCCCCTGGGAAGCAGCCCAGCTGATTTCCCCCAGCCCACCACAGCTTCCCTAGCACTCTCCTTCCACGTGCTGCACATACATACACCCCACACAGTTTTTGGGGTCACAGTGTCCTGCAACTGTCTTTTGAGGCTATGATGAACAGTGTCACATGCATGTTTATGCAGCTACAGAGTCATTTGGATGGCCTCTTTCTGTCAAGGGAAGTTAATAGGAACTGCTCAGGGAGAAGTTATTTTTTGAGAAGACAAAGCTGCTGGTCTCTCTTAGCCATCACTACTCTTTTAGGTCCCACATCAGATGTTAATTCCTGTCACTTGTACTGTTTCCAAACTAATCTCTTTTGCAATTATTTGTTCTCTTCTATACATCAGATAATTTGCATCACTCAATTTGTGTTTGTAGAATCATTTAGGTCAGAAAAAGACCCTTAAGATTGAGTCCAATCATGAACCTAACACTATTAAATCCACCACTACACAATGTCCCTAGGGATCCCATCTACACATCTTTTATAGACCTCAAGGCAGAGCGACTCAACCACTTTTCTGGGCAGCCCATTCCCGTGCCTGACAACCCTCAAGAATTTTTTTCTACTATCCAACCCAAGTCTCTGTATTTTAACACAAAGCCTCAGAGCTGTTTTGCAAGGTTTTCAAGGTCCAGCTTTCCCTCACCATGATGCTGCAGAGAAATAAAGTGGTGCAGCTTGGATTCCTGGTGAATATCCAGGGTTGGAGACTGAGCACAGATAAGCAAATCTGGAGGACTGAGCAAATGCATCCCTCTCAACAGGGATTGGTGGTGTTTCCCCTACACAAACCTCAGTCTCGACATTCAGGCAAGCAAGAGGCTGATACTTCCTCCAGGCTGTTGGCAGGACACGTCCTGGACTGCCAGACTGACACACGGTAGAGGATTATGGCCTAAGGCCATGCTGTGGTGCTTTCTGCTCTCCAGAGCGAGCAGGGCTCAGGGTCCTTCAAGAGATATTGACAAGCCGAGTTCTCTGTGCTCTCCCAGGAGAGGATACTTGGCAGGGACAAGCCCGGCTCTTCCATTGACTGTGACCCTTTGCCTGCGGCAGGGCATAGCCTTCTTGCTTTCCTGAGTGCTCTAGCAGAAGGCAAGTCCTGACATCTCTCTAGGAGCCAAGCAGAGCACTCTGCATTTACTTTGCCTCTTTACCAGTGTCACTTAAAAATGGGATTATTTACAGCCCTGGGACATGGGAGAACAAAATTAAAGAGGAAGGAAGTGCTGGCAAGGCATGCTTCCTTCCTACCCTTTCTCCTCTTTTGTGGTCTCCGTAGTGCTAACTGCTTGTGCTTGAAAGCAGGATAAGCCTAATTAACTCTTCTGGAAAGTACAAGAGGAGGGCAGTGCCCGAGAAGGCACTGTTTGTACCCTGAACATAGCGGTCAGGGACTTGTGGCTAAGGTACCTCAAAATCAGGACTGCCTCCTTAACAGGCAAAACAAGATCAGCTTCACTCTTGTCAGGGCTGGGAGACACGTACCTGATCTAATCAGGGCAGCAAGGAACAGAGACAGCCGAGGGACCAGCTGTAAGCTCTCCTGTGCCTCTGCAACATAAAGGCTATGTAGTTTGAGTGGTTGTACACTACACATCGGTTAGCTTACCTTCAGCCAGATAACGTAACACAGGGATAGATGAGGAAACAAAAGCCATACTCTTTTCCCTCAACCCCTCCAAGCACAAGTTACTTAAAAAAAAAAAGTCTCAAGACTTACTTGACAAGGCAAAGCATCAGCAAGGCTTATCTTTTTCCTGATAAACACATCCTGACCTCTAAAACTATCATTCTATTCTGTAAATAATGCAGTATATGCAGGGCAGGAACTCTAAGCACCATTATCTTTGTTCATTTTGAATGATACAGGCCAGCTGCATGGCCAGGCTCCCGCCATACAGGGCACATGTTGTCTCTGCCCTACTCCCACACAGGAGAACATTACAGCAATCCCTTCTCCACCATCCCAGCTGGTGCACAGTGGAAACTTTTGTTTAAAACTGCAGCAGAACCCAGAACCACAGGTGCTCAGAAAGCCTCCTGCTTATTTGCTCACCAAATTCCTTGCTACCATTAGCTGCATCAGCTATGGACATCAAAGAGGAAGAGCCCTATCTATGCACAGTCACCATGTCTATGCCCACAGGGTGACTGGGAAGACACAGCTAAACCTTCTGGTAGAGCTGCAAGAAAGGCTCCATAATAAGGGCTGTCAAAAGGAGAGAGAAAAGGACCTGAGTGAAGCAGGAGGGTCCACCCTGCAAAGCAACCCTCCTTATCTCCCATGGGGATGCCCAGCTACATGGCAGCAGCTACAGTGTTACTGCCACTCGGCAACTGCACTGACAAGAAGGTGACAGGCTTGAAGCCTGTCAGCCTTTCCATAAAAAGCCATCAGCTGGCTGAAATACTCTGCAAGTGGTCTTGCCCCTACCCAAGCAGCTGGCCTAACTGCTCAGCTGTTGAAAGGAGCAGCAAATTCATCCATGGTCTAAAACAGCCCTGCTAAGAGAGATTAGCCAACAAGAGTCAAATTCCACCACTTGAGCAGCATTTGGCTTAGGAAGACCTCACCAGCACAGGCAGTTACCAGCTGAGCTGTAGTGGGCCTTCAGCAGTCACAGAGCCAGCCCCCAAACCTGGGCACCCTGCCCAGGTTCCCAACTCTCCACAGCAGGCAGAACTTTTTACCTTTCATCAGGTCCGTAAACACAGCAGCAGTCCCAACTTGAGCCTTCTCTTTCATAGTAGACAGCTGGGGAATAGCAATAGCAGACGCTCCAAAGCATTGCATGAGCAGAGCCAAGAGGCTGTAAGCAGAAGAGACTGTTTGCTAAGATCCTTTCTCTTTTTTCTGCCTAACTAGTTGTGCTTGATGCACCCAGGAATGAATTCTCCAGTAACATTGTTCAATACAGCCCTCAGGCTGGATCTGGAGCTTAGCCATCAGGTATTATAGACACTAAACCCCTGACATGTTGCTACGCCACTGACTTAACAGAATAATGTGATCCTGAGTCTCTGGCAATGTCAAGACCTCAGTTCAAGAAGCAGCACAGTCAGCCTGAATCCTCTCAAGACTTGACTCCTAAAATTTTAGTCAGGCTTCATCCTTTCACTCCAGGTTTTCCCCTGGCAAATGCAGTTAGGCCAACTCAGCTCCTCCTCTCTACTCCCAGCCTGCAATGCACCCAACTGCTGAGCATGTTCTGGGAAAGCAAAGCTATCTGCAGGAGCACAAGCTATCCCCTGTTCCCTGTCAGCTCCTCATCCCCAGCAAGCAAACGGGAGCAGCACTTACTGGTCAGATGGCACCTTTCAAGCCCAGCGTACGCTTGTCTGGGCCTGCCTGGCTGGGTTTTATCCCAGAGTTAAGAAACCAAACAGCCACCCACTGCAGCAAACAGGGTCAAAGGAGCAACTACTCCTTACTTCTTCACAGTAAATCATGCTTTGCCTGGCACATGGTCTAACTAGGCACCTACCACCTGCAAGGCCACGCTTAAGTTGCCACCTATATGGATACACACCCCCTCCCACCGCCCACCCCTGTAGTGCAGCCAGGAGCAAGCGCCTTAGAGCAGAAACAGCAGAGGAAGCAGCCATTGCAAGTTTGGGTTTATTTCACTATGCAGGGGGAAAGGAAGCAAAACCAAACCAAGTTATAGCTCTTCGCTGAATTTAATGGCTTTGACTTTGAAGTCACCCTCCACGGCCAGGTATTCAATTTTCTTCATGCCCAGTCGATTAGGGAACTCGAATTCTGCCTCTGGGAGCTTCACCATTACCTCGGTTTCATTGAAGGAAATGCAAATCTGTAGAGACACAAGAAGGAAGGATAAGCTATCACAGCTCACAAGCCTCATGCCCCACTACCTCCACTCTGGCTGCAGGACAGTTGAGGTGGCTGCTGATGTCAAGGCCATGCCCACTAGCTCAGCCTCCTTTCTGCCCACTGGAGGCACCGAGGGGACAAAGCTCCTTTGCTCTCCCCCAAGGTCATCTCCAAACTTCTGCAACCAAGGGATCAGACCTACCCAGGTTGGTGTTTGAATTGCTCTTAGTTGTGTGTCTTGCGAAGAAAGGCCAAAATAGAGCACTTGACACATCCGAGCTGTTAGGTGTTGACTTGATCAGAACACATCTAGACAGCCAGATCGAGCTGCAAGACCCTTCCCATGTTTTGTACTCCCCTTTCCATGCCTACTCCTTCCCTAGCACAGACATACAGAGACACATTCAAAACCTGTGCCCTTCACCCTTTAGTGGTCTGAGCCAGGGCCCTGCACACACCCTTGGGACCTCACCTCTGTCTTGTCACCTTGCTGGAAAGGAAAATCAGCCTTCCTGTCTTCCTCGCCCCACAGGCCATCCTCCTTGGAATTGCACACAATGGTGTTGACATCTCCGTAGCAATCGAAGCGAGGGTTGAAATGCAGCATAAGCGTGCTGCTGTCCTTGCCTACATTGACAGCAAACCTGGGGAAACAAACGGGCAATGCAAAGGAGGTGCCTGCACAGGAGCTTCAGCTACTGAGTGCTAGTAAGGGGAATGCAGCAGGAGCTCAGGCTTCGCCCAGTGCATCAATCCATTTGCCACCTCCTCACTCACCCTTTGGCATCAGACAGGATCTTGCCTTTGACCTTGATGCACTCACCAGGCTCAACATCCAGCTGAGTAACAACCAATCCCTGCAAGGCCAAACAACAGGAGTTAGTCTGTCCCAAGGTGAGCCTACCAGCCCTGCTTGGGCTGAAGCACAAAGCAGCTCTAGCAAACCCAAAAACTTCCTGTGGTTTCACACTAGAGGAAGGGTTGAGCCAAGCCAGCTGCCTGGAATCCTAGTTCACATCCACCACCCCGCTGGGCTCTCCCACCCCACCAAGCAACATAGACTGTCCCGAATCCCCTGTCAGCTTTAACACAAAGAGGGTATAGGCACTGCTTTCCCAGCTGCTACAGATGATATCCTTACAAGCAAGCTCACACCTACAAGCCAGCCATTAGAAAATGATTACCATTAATTACCAAATTTCTCTAACATTAGATCTCCCCCCTTCCCTAGGTGGGTCCACAAGTGACAGAAGCCACCAAAAACAATTTCTTACCTTGGCTCACCACAGCATACAGAGAGAGGTCAGTGGAGCCCACTTCTGGGCTACAGTCCAGTAAAGCAGAACCAACACCCCACCCATCCCAGCAACTTCCCACTGCAGAGAAGAGGGCTTGGCCCTTTCCTCAGGGCCAGGTTATTCACTCCCTCAGCCACATACCCCTAAAATAGCACTTAACATCACCAGCCTCCCCCAGCCACGAAGATGCTGCTGTTTGTTGAGGTCAGGCGTAACTCATAACGTGCTGTACTACCTGTACTCCAGGTACAAATGCACTGTTGCTGAGCTCTGTTTAACCATACACCAAATGAGGCAGGGAGACTTAGTTCCCAATAGTTCTATTGTTTACTTGGGTTATTTCTTGCCTGGCTTGCGCAGGCCCATGCCCAGCAGCTGCAGGTGGCTGTAAAGCCAATATTCCTCTACAACTGGCACTGAGCCGCACGGTGCTTGTTCTCCTGCCTACTCCCTGCCTCTGCCCACGCACAGGCTGGTCAGGTCAAATCTCCCCAGTCACTAAACTGCTTATTGTCGCAGCACTAACCGTCTTCTGGCTCTTATTTCTAGCACAGTGCTGGAGAACAGCCCAAAACACAACCCAGGGGGGTCTTTCGAGGAAAGTTAAAGGTAACAGGGGTAGGTTAAAGCACACCCACATTCGTCTCGGCTCTGCTGTTGCGTTAGTTTTCCCACTCGTCTACCCAAGAGGCACTTTTCCAGAAGGAAAACACAAGATTTCAGGAAGAGAAGGTATAAAGGATATTGAAACCATGGAGCTGCAAATAGACCCAAACCTTTAGAGTACTCAATGATGCAAACAGTTTCCCCACTTGAATAACATACTAGATAAGAGGAGAAAAAGAAAAACGGCCGCTCAGCCCTAACTGTTCCTCCCGCAGCCGTATATATCAGTCTGGCATTTCCTCTCAGCTAATCCTTCTCTCTGGCACCAAGCCCAAAACCCACACGCAGCCCAGCAGCCCTAGTCCTGCTTGGCACACACCAGTCCAGCTGGAAGAAGGCACTCACTTGCTCCATGCTGCAGACACCGGCGTCAC